AATCCCAAGCAGCCGTGCCTGGAAAACCTACCCTTTCCTTTTCCTGAGTCCTAAATCAGCTTACCATCAGCTTGCCATCTGCCCTGTGTAAAAGTTTTTCATTTACTGAAGGCTATAATTAAGTATACCCTGCAAACAAAATAACTTCAGTGACTGAATTAGAAATGCCCCAATGTAATGCTGCTGTACCATACAGCTTGAGGACAGCGCGAAGCCCTCCACTAGGAGACACAAAGTCTGGATTCCGGTCCTGGTCCCACTATGTCTTCAGTCTGTGTTTACTGAGCACCTAAGCCCCGAGGGTGCTGAAAGAAATACAGTCCCTGCCCTTCAGGAACGTACAGTCCACCCAGGGAGACGATGATGTGCACAGACCCCGGGGCACTCTGGCAGACGTTACAAAGGCAGTAAACTCAAGACATTAAGGAAATGCAAAGGAAGCTTTCTTGGACTGTTTTTACCCTCCCACCTCACTGAATTTCTTAGATTCTGTTCATTAAATTGGAATGATAATTCCTTGTTAATCTACTTTACGATGTTGTGGAGATCTCAAAGGATAAAGCTCCCAGCAAAGTTTTATTCAAAGTAGGTATTGCGACATAATGGTGCTAATCTGCACCTTTAAAAGATTGTTTCATTCAGCTGTTCTACAGGAAAGAGAACGGTTGCAACGCGCTAGTACCTGCGCAGGTGGGAAAAAGAGGTTTGGGCTAATGTAGCAGTGTCCGAAGTCAACACCTTGGAAGAGGATACCCCCGGGAGTCCTGTCGCTCACTCTCCGGGAGCCCCCCACGTCCCCGCCCTTATCGGCAGCCCCATCCCGCGGTCAGAACCGCCCGGACGGAGCCGCGAGCGATCCCTGGCGGTCACTGGCGGACTCTGAGCTCTCGCGCGCGAGAGGCGGGGCGGTGGGAGAAGGGGGTGTGGTCTTCTCGCGTGAACTGATGGCGTCATCGAGGCGACGGCCCGGAAGGAAGTAGCGTGCTGAGGGGTGTGGCGGTTTCTGCAGTTGCACTGGGGTTCGGACGAGTACGGAGCGCCCGGAGGGACAGCCTGGTACGCGGCCCCCGCCCCTTGGAGCGCGCGCCGGGCCTCGTTGCGGCTCCCGGCTGGGGCTGACCCGCCGTCCTCCAGAGTCCCTGTCCCGGCAGCCCCTCTCCCTCAGCCGGCCCACTCTTGCAGTGAGGAGGGAACCCCTTTCTGTCCAGTTCCCTCCCCGCGAGCCCCAGGCGGGACCGAGCGGAGGCTCCCAGAGCTCCAGCCCCGACCCAGGGCCCTTGGCCCTCCCTCGGAGGAGGGCGGGGAGGGGGCGCGGGGCGGGGCGGGGTGACCACGGGGAGGACAGGGTATTTGCGGAAAGGACGCAACTGCAGATCGGTAGCTGGAGGCCGCCGCGGTAAACATAAGCGCCTCGTAGATAACCGCGCCCGAGTTATGTTCGACCCGGAAGGCAGAACCCACGCCCTGCGCTGATGGGGCCAAGCACGCCCGACTAAACGTTGCTGTCAGTCACCGTAGTTTCTCCAGATCATTCAGTGTTCAGGACGTAGCTTCTAGATGCCAACTCTTTTGCGTCCTGGTGCTTGAACGCAGTAGGACCCACGAGGACCCCCAGCGTCCCCCAGTCTGGGGCACTCCCTTTCTCCTCCAACCACGGGCTTGGGGGTCTGTCAGGTGCAGAGTGCCCAAGTGTGTGGGAGGGAGTGTGGCTTCAGTCTTGTTCAGAGTCTGTTCCGTTTGGGGCCAAAGGAATAACTGGGAAGGTGGATGAGAGGCCAGAGAAACCTACGTTGGAACTCTACTCGCATGCTGCCTCTGTCACTCCAGCGTCTGAAAGGAGTAAATAATGGTTTCCTTTGAAACGGCAGGCAATTAGGACAGGGAGGCTCTGACCAGAATTACATAGCCACAACTGCCTGTCATTTGACATCCTCTGTAATTTGGGCCAACGTACCGCAGCTGCCTGTCTTCCCCACTGCTACTGTGAGAGGCTCCAGTGACAGCACATTCGTGTACACAGGAAGGGAAGGCTGTGTTCTGAACCCTGCCCAACTGGCGCTGCTTCTCCTTTGGGCAATGGCTCTATCTGGAGCCATTGCCTCTTCAATGCAGTGGAGGATGTAATTCCACAATTATAGAACGGGAATGTTGACTGAGAACATGGATGAAGTGCGTTGTAAATCTAGCCTTGTGTTCATCCTATACCAGGCTGGATATGAGTCACTTTCAGGGAACTCAGCTTGGTGAGGTGCTCTGGCCGTGGTAGCTTTTCCTCTGCACACTGGACCACACACGTTTTCCTGTATCTTTTCCCTAGGATAAAGGCTCGCTGATGGCTCAGTTGGGAGCAGTTGTGGCAGTGGCTTCCAGTTTCTTTTGTGCATCTCTCTTCTCAGCTGTGCACAAGATAGAAGAGGGACATATTGGGGTGTATTACAGGTAAGGCAGAGACAGGTAGAAACTTGCAACTTCCCGCTAAATGACTCCCTTTCCCTCTGGCAGTCTTGGTTCCACACTAGGAACCTTTTGTAGGTTGCCTCTACAAAAGCCAGCTGAGTCCCAGTTCTTGATGACAATTTGAAAAGATAACCTATTCCGCTAATTTGGGATACTCTTTTCAGATGAACAATTCAGGAAAAA